TAAATAATTAAATCCATGTCAAACAAAGTTAGTTGTAATTTATTATGCAATTAAAGTATAGGTAACGTAATTCTGAAGGTCCACCGCATCCTGTTGCTTTTTAAACCTATTAAAACGTTAGCAAAAAGAATTTTATTACTCAAGGCTATGAAATCATACAAAAATATATATGGCGTTTCATTTAGAAAATAACATGTCGACATACACGCATGGAACATGGTTGAAGAATCCTTCACTGAACGATTTTTCTTTAATTTCAACCATTTGGATGCTATCTGCCGTCCAGAGAAACTTGAATTATCCTATAAAGAAATACATCCCCACAAATCGTCGTACATATATATATGTACAAACTTTATTTTATAGCAGAATCCATATAAATCATTGTAAGCCCCCTTGCACCAACAAAATTAAGCTTTGCTTAAAGTTAAGTCGAACTTAAAATCTATGGCAACGATTATTAAGACAATTGTTGCTTTGGTATTTCAGTTATGCTTAAGTTTAAGGGATACTTAATTTGGACGGTACAATTGGCCCTAGAGCTTCTAAAAATTCTGAAATTAATTTAGACGTTAAAAATAGCAAGCTTAGTCTCTGCCGTCCCGGTCGTTTCCATTGAAACATCATTTTCATATGTCATCATTCGCGTCACATTCGAAGTAAGAATCACAGATGTCAGTAGAATGCACAATCATCTGTTTCACACTGTCTACGTTGCGGTTAAGGTGAACGCCTCTACCATCGCGGTGAAAGGGCGGCTTAGGCCGGTCCTACATTGGAAGTGGAATTTCTCCCGACCAGACGATCTGAGCGGGTTACTGGTCGGGTCTGAGAAAACAAACACATGACGCACCATGAAAGCTTTGGTGAAAACTAGCTGCAATGTAGGATCGCCGAGTCTGGACTGGTCTGGCCTGGCCGGATCGGGTTTGGTGGCCAGACCGAGTCCGCTTCCAGGAGTAACCTTAGCCTACTCATTCACACTTATTAAAATGTCAATTTAACATATGCTTTTGTATAAACCTCGGTATAAACATTATTTTATAAAACATGAAATATTGCGTAGCTCGTGTTAGTAATAGTGAACCTGGCTCGATTAAATGGGAAGGAGTCGAAATACAAAGGTTACTTCGTGAAAAAAACAATTTCAGCAAGTTTACAAATTCAAAGAAGCTCAAATTAATTAATCTTGCAAAGTTCAAATCTGTTTACAAATTTCAGATATCTGGTGCAAACATACAAGTGATTAATGTATTTACATTCTAAAGGTTAATTTGTTAATTAAGGAAAAATAAAAAGAAAGGGTCTTCAAACCGACAAACATTTTGTAAAATCCGTTTCCCTTTTAACTGAGACTACCGAACGAATGGAAATACTAATGTGTCCAACATGTCCAATAAAAAAGTATTTTTATATTCGCATTATAATATTTTCTACAAAAAGAGTAGGTACACAGTACAAAAAATAAAATAGCATGTTTCATTCATTTGATGCCATTGTCTGTAAGGGAGGTGAGAAGTGTGCGCATATGCTTCGGATAAAGGCAAACATATCGCATCAGTCTACTTTTAATAAAGAAGCATTTACTTGACTTAGGGCGAAAACCTTTTTACTCGTTTTATTTCCTAGGTGAACAAGCCTCGTTGAAATATCTGCAGATTCTGTTCAATATTATTATTATGTGAAATTATTAATAATATTATGTGAAACAAAATATTGAAATGCTTTTTACCGAAGGTGTACTGCTACAACATTGTGTTCGAACCTGGGCTGCGGTACGAATTTTTCATCTGTGGCAGGATGGGATTCCCTTAGATCAGTTTCGAGCATTCGGCCAGCTACTCCGAATTAGGTTTTCCTGCAGTTTTTCTAATTCGTAAGTCAAATACCGGAGTAGTATAGAACAACTTAAGACCTTCTGCAGGGGCGTTATGTGGGTCACTGCGTAATTGGACACAAGCCTGTTGAGGGCCCAGAACAAGAGAGGAACAATAAATAAATAAATATGAAAATGAAGATTTGCAACACGATCATAGCACCGACAATATTATACGGAATTAACACTTCAACGCTAACAAGGAGCAACAGACGAGCATTGACGAGGGCGGAGTGCAAGGCACTCAGGATACTGATGGAAAACAGCAACCTCACAAGAAAGCAGCGAAGAAAACTACTAGAGGGAAAGACGATTACCAGGAGACTGAAGATGAGGAGGTAGATGAGATACTGGGGACATACAAAGCAGAAGAGTGGGGGAAGAATTAGACATAAGTACAAGAAGCCAAGAGTAGGAGGAAAAGGGGGACAGAAAGTAACGCAGGGAGAGGACAACAATAAAAAGGGGGAGAACACGAGGGAAAACAGGGAAGGGAAGTAGACAAAATGATAGGAACATCGGAAACCAATGAACGCCAAGAGAAGAAGCTATCACTAGAAAACAGAGTTCCTTCTAAGACAGATATACCAGCGGTGAAGCTGTGGCCCTACCCATTCGGGTCGGCTAACACCCAGTTATCTATAAGTAAATAATATATAGATAGGCGCAAGGGAGGATCTTTATACACATTTAGAGTCAGTCTGGCACATATTATAAATATACACTATATAATTCAGGAGATAAATCCCTGAGGATGTTCTCCGCAGTATCGTAGTTTCGCCATTCGAGATATACGCACCCACCACTTTACCAATCAATATGCTACTTAGTCTAGAGCTAGACGTTCCGATCATCCTTTGTGAGTAGGTACGGTAAGAATTAACCCCCTAAATTCGTCTGTTGATACCGATGTCCAAACGGTCCAAAAAAGAAAAGTACCAAATCTAGACTTCTCTAGAGATGAGGAATTACAACCGATCTCTATAAGGGGCAGAGAAGAAGGGAGATGGTTACTAGGACTTCTTTATGCGACATCAATTTAGCTATTTAATTATCTGCGCAATCGATGAATGGTGTATGTGGCTTAATTGCGAAGGATATCACTTGACTCCATGACAATGGTAAAAATCTCAGTCGAGGACCTTGTTGGATTTCATTGAAAGCAACAAATGAAGAGTTTTGGATTTAGTTACAATACGAACCTGTGCAGCCTTTTAAGCCGTGTGATTATTTCGGTTGTTTATTTTCGATATCAATGACTATGTTTACGCCGCATGAATGCTGTCTATTATTATCATCAGATCGAAGAAATTCATTCAGGTTACGTTGTACGAGTATGGACCCAGATGTTTCGGTCTTACTTTTAAGTGATCCTTGACGGTTTGGACATTCTCTCGGCTTGACCGTTGGTCGAAGGGTGGTACGGAGCCGATGAAGTGATCAATTCTTCGTCTCCTTCCCCCTTCCTATAAAGCTGGATTTATCTTGCCTTTGCGAAAACTGGCGTTGCATCAGGTTTTAGGCATGATACTACAACTGCAGTTATTATCTTTGCTACAACCTAACAGTTCCACTGTTGACACTATTTGTCAGAATTTAAATAGGCATTCCATGCAATGACGTAGTTTACGACGCATGTCATTGTCGCTAGAATCTTTCTTGGATTTTATGCTATAGGTACTCAATCTTAAACTTGACTTTAAATTTGATTATGGAAACGGCCCTAACTATTGCATTTTAGTCTGTACGATAAGAATCATCTAATTAACTTATATTATTAAGTTTCTTTTAACCACAATTTGGAAATAATCCAAGTCAACACTGGCAATGAACTCGAAAACTTAGGAAACAGATGCGAGAATAAAGAAAAATTCATAAATTCGCGCAATATTAATAATTTAAGATATTCCAGAGACGTTTTAAAGTTATTATGTATATTAATTTGTAAATTATGAAGATATAGGAAGGTATATAATCGCGCAGAAATAAATTCATTAGTTCTGCATATTTTTCTGAAAAGCAATTTCGGGAAATTTAAATAATGACGACGGAATTGTGAGATGTAGATCATGTGAGTTGTCACTTTGCCGCTAGACTGTCAAATTAATATCTCGCAAAATTATACTTCTAACGAGCTAATGACACGGTGGGTCAAATCTCATTAATAAGCATGTCAATTTGTAACTATTGGCCATGAATGAAACACAAAGGTCACTATTTGTCTGTTACTGCATTTGTCGTATTTATTAACATAATCGATATCTATTCTCATTCAATTTAATATTAATATTTGAAATTATACAGAAATGAGCAGAATTTATGGTCTATACGTGTTTTTGTTAGTTCTTTCAGTGTTAATTCCGTTATAATTGATTGCGACGATCAAACGGAACCATTTTATTTTTGTAAAAGTCCGCTAACTCATTTTGAACCTGTAGTAAAATTGAAGATTTATGTGATCCGATAAAATGTCCTACAACTATTTCTTTCCAAGCCTACTTGTTCTTGTAAGCAATAAAACAGTTTTTCTGTTGTAATCGGATGTATACGCAGTGATTTATATGACCGTTTTACGATGATATACTTTAAAGTAACTACTTACTCGATGACGGTTACGTAACATTTAGGTATCATTTCTCCTGAGGTATGGAATAGTTCTTTGAGAAACATGAAAGGGCGGTTCTCAATACATCATTGATGTGCATAAGGGATTTGAAGGGCCAATGAGTTTCTGGTGTCCAATAGCAACGCCGAGATCATAAGGTGGCGTCTTCACTTGCGTCTGTGCACAACTTCTGCGTTGGTGGATGCAGGTATATTAACGAACAAATGCTACATTATCTAGTAATTGGGTGAACTAAGTGAATTTATCTGGATAAAAAGAAACAAACTGATTTTCAATTTCCCATCAGTTTATCTACATTATTAGGTAGTATATTCTAGTGCAATTGCAATGCCTAGTGCAATATCGTTCTCTAGAAAGATTAAACCTCAATAGAATCGAAGTGTTGTATACAATAGTCTAAAGTATATTAGAATGTGACAATTTTTCGGAAACGATTACTAATATTATATTCATTTTTTGTGACCTTTATAGATATATAACAAAGTCTATTATTTTTAGATATCCAAAATTGAGAAAATACCCCTTTTTCCATCTATAACCAACCCCATGAGAGATGTTAAAGAAAAAACTCCAGGAGGAACAATAAGCGACGGGTTAGCCAAGTTGGAGGGGCGGATACTTTCTGACCCCTCAAAATTCACCTTCGGCAGTGCTGGATACTATGCGAATTGTACAACCTCTTCTAACTTTCATCGCGGTGAGTAAACCATCTAAAATATATGAGAATTGGCAGTTTATCGTCAGCGGGCGTTTTTATGGCCCATAATGTATTTAAGTGTGTTTTAATGAACTGTCACGGCTTGCATTTGCCCTTAACTTAAAATTCGAAAAGGGTATAGTTGTCAAACGGCAAATCAATTTCAAGTACTTACCTATAAATTGAGTTGGGGGCTAATTTTTAGCGCATTTTTGCAAAAAATTTTTTTTGTAAAAAGTAGCTTTTAATCTCACTGGCTGGCTGGCTGGCTGGCTGGCTGGTCGGCTGGCTGGCTGGCTGGCTGGCAGTAAATGCGCGCCCGTAGAAAAACGCTTGTAAAAAGACAAGGAGTGTACATGTAACTATCGGGGCCGTGTAATTAAGAACGTTAGGGATGGGGCTACAAGATTTGGAGTCGACGACATCTGGACGCCATCCCCGAGCGTATTATACTAACCTGGAGATTTTTCAGTTTTTATCTATCTTCTTCTACCGTTTTTCTCCGATTGTTTTCAAATTGGTGTCGTCGGGAAGATCTTGTCAACGCGCACAACTCCTGCGTGGCGGAATTTTGTTTTTTTTCCTAGGGGCGAAATAAACCACCTTTTGCGCGGCGCGCTTCGAGGGGTAGTCGACTTTGGGCGCCCAAAAGTTTCTTACAGCGCGAATCGCGGTCTCTCTTTCTCGTGTCACTAATAGAAGGTCGAGCTATGTGAAGTACCCAAAAGTTGAATACGATTTTATGCCGGGATTTTAGCGAAATCTACCAAAATGTGAATTACGAATGAACGGGACGTCGGAACTGTGTATCGACAAAGGGAATGTGGTAACCCCCGACGAGATCTTACTGATGGTGGAGTCGAAACTTCAAATCCGAATTGTTGCGGGTGATCAGAAGTGGGTGTCGACAAAGGGAATATGGTAACCCCCAAAGGATTTTAATGATGGTGTAGTCAAAACTTCAAACGCGAATTGCGAGTGCACGGTAAGTGAGAAAATGGTACCGACAAAGTGAACGTGGTAGCTTTCGGCAAGATCTTATTGATGGTGGAGTCAATATTGGCTAATAAAACACTGATCTGCCACACAAAAATGCGCTGAAGTCCCTTCGATCTCACACGAGGACTTTGATCATTTTTTAGTTAAGGGTCGAAAAGAGTCTTCTAAATGCCTCTTATTGGGTTTTATGTTATCAGCTGCCAATACTTTCAAACAAATAACGCATTGCGATTTTTCTTATCCACCAACCTCGAACTTTTGTCAAATTTTTGAGTTTAGTTTTAGATTTTTTTCTCGATCTAAGACTGACCTAAAACATTCCAATTTAGTAGTAATAGCATAGAACTCTGTTAAATGTTTTTATCTAAAAAATTCATAAAAAGTACCACAAAAAATGTTACCTTCGTACGCCATGCATAGCGTTAATGCTCGTTACACTACAAAACATTCTCAGCTTTTGTAACATAAAATTATCTCAGACCCGTTTCCATAGATAGATAGATTTACACCAAAGGTTCCATGTTTCGTTTCAATAAATAGAGCCATTGTCTTTTCAGCAGCAAAAGTCTTCCTTTTTAAATTTAAACTATGTTTATGCAAGAAGTCATGTTACTACCAATTAAAAAAATCGCGTTATCTGCATTTAGCACTAAATGATCTTGTACGGTAGAAAAACGATTTGCAAACGATGATCAATGGACCGTTCGGGTAGTTATCATGAAAATGAATGGCTTTCTGGTCGGCACTTAAGAAATTATACGGTTAATTACATACATCTCTAATGCTCGGGGGCTATTATGTTAAGAGATATTGGGTGCAAATAATAATCCACGGATTCGCACCTGTCACAAAATAGGCATAACTGCGACTAAATGGGCAAAAGTAGTCATAAATATAGAGACGCGCAGCGATACAATCGCTCTTATAAGAAGTGCATTATTACCGCTTGCCTTTGACTGTAACATATTAATCTTACAATAAAATAAGGTTTTGTAATTGAGGTACAAGTGTTATCTCCGACAGCATCGGCTATTTATAATCAGTTCAATGAAACCGCCAAACCAAAATAGCAGCTCTTTATTTAACGTCTCGATACTTGTAACTAGTAGACTGAAAAATTGCTAATCGTATCTTATAAGATTTTTATGTGTAACAAGATGTTTAAGTTGTTCGTACAAGCTATTAGGATGGAACCGTCCTAAATACCATATACATGGATAGTAGTGCCATATTCGGTTTCATTTGATTCTGGTGTTAACACTTTTACAACATGTCAAACACTAACAGCCATTCAATAACTTCCCCAAATTAGAATTTTGTGGTAGAATCACATTTGTAGGTAGTGGACTAATAGGCAGAATTCATTGCATTTATTCATTCATCGTGCCAAACCAAAGCATTTATTTAATGGTACAAATTTAGTGCATGCTTTCATCTGACATGTTCATTATTATTGAATGCTTTATAATGCTCAATTTTTATATAGGAATGTAGTTAGTGGCCAATTGAAATCAAAACAAAGCTATATTTTTTGTGCAGGTAAAAAAGGCCCGAAGAAAGATGGTAATATATTCATTCTTTCACTATTCGGTCACAATCATTCAAGTTTTAAATAACATGCCATGATAAGTAGCACAGCATCGAAAGACTCTCATTCCATGAGTGTATTTTTTAAACGCATACGTGAATTGTCCCTAGAGCCAGTACGGCAAATAGTCCGACGGTGAACACACCTTATATACAAATATTACTCCAGGGATAAATTGTATTCTTTAAGCGCAATATTTTGGGGGTAAATTTCCGGAGAGAAATTTACTAAGCTGAATTCTTTAAAAGGGATTCTCCTGCATTTACATATTATTTTTTGCGTGATCGGTCATTTCTGACCATTTACCATGGGTGTTTCCATGACAGTACGTAGAATTTACCAGTTGCTATGATTACGACGACGCCAAAATTACTTACCGATCTAAAAACAGAACAGCAAAAATACTTACCGACGCCTTTTTAAAAATCAACAGTCTTACATTACATTTAATCTTTAATTATTGTTAGGTACATTAAACGTACAATTTGTGCTGTTGTTTCCTATAGCAAGACGCTCATAAAGTCATAAAGGAAGTGCAAAGCTAGTAAACTACATCAGACACATGCACATTTTTATGAAATTATTAATTTCAATTTTGACAAATAAACTGGTTACCTAGTGATGTACACCATACCACTTCGATCATTTCGATTTATTCTGCTCGTTAATTTCTTAGTGCATATTTATATTGGTTGGATAATTTTAATTTCGATCGCGCAAAAAATGTTATAAGCACGTCGAACGTTAACGGTTACCGTTCTCAGACAATAATTGGAGTCGTCGCTTCGCTCCTCCTCCAAACAATTGTCTTCGAACGGTAAAAATCCCTTACCGTTCTCCATACTTAATATACTATTTCTTAAAAGTAAAAGAGGGCTCTAGATCTAAGTTCTTAGTGACAAGAAATTAATTATTGTCGCATGCATGTTGGTTTATTTATCAGCAAAGTGGTAGCCACGAATTCCACGATGATGAGGTTGTCAAGCGCTATGAAATTAACATTTTTCAAACAACACTTTTTGAGTGATGAAATAGTATAGTATATTATATACCAAGGGACTAACGTGTGTTTTATTCCCTAGGGGACTTTTTTTGATCGAAACGAAGATGAGGGCAACAAGTAACTGAGGTATTAGGACGCACTTTAGTCCTGTGGTATATACGTTATTAGACGTTTGTACTCCAATAATCCGTTACAGCAAAATTTAGTAATCCTTAGTCCCGACAGGAATAGTAAACATATAATGACACCTTGGGAAATGCGCTATTAAAATGAAAACAAGTTAAAAAGTAATCGTAAACGATTTACATAAAGCGCATTTCCACTTGCATTCATTTCCCATTTGTAAGATGCAACTTCTGTTAAAATCGTAAAAATCCGGCCACAAATATGAAAGATAGCGTTGCACATGGGCAATCCATTGTTGACGTGCTACTTCAATTTCAGTTTATGAGAAGAATTTCATTTCAATGCTTTTCTAAATAAGAAAGTTGGAACTGCGCATGCGCAAACCTAAATTTTAAAACTAATGTTAGATTTTCCTTTGTTCCAAGCGCCTAAGTATCAAATTTCACTTAAATAGTTCCATAGATAAAAAAGTTGGCACGGCGCATGCGCAAAATAAAATTTTGAAACTGGCGCTAGATTTTCCTTTATTCCAAGTGCCTATGTATCACATTTCATTTAAATTCTTCCATAAATAAAAAAGTTGGCACTGCACATGCGCAAAACCAAATTTTGAAATTGGCGTTTGATTTTCCTTTATCCCAAGTGCCTATGTATCAAATTTCGTTTAAATTCTTCCATAAATAAAAAAGTTGGCACTGCGCATGCGCAAAACCAAATTTTGAAATTGGCGTTTGATTTTCCTTTATTTCAAGTGCCTATGTATCAAATTTCATTCAAATACTTTTATAAGTAAAAAAGTTTGCAATTCGGTTTATAAATGGTCGAGATGCGAAAAGGGCACTGTGAATTTTGAATCGATTCGATTCAACTTTTGGCATTGCGTATTATATGGTTAAAGCTATGCCCATATTGAATTTCATGCAATTCAGTTCATAACTAACGGAGATGTAAAAGCGATCGAACATTTCTAAACAAAGTTATCGTTCACACGGACAGATAGATGGACAGACAGACAAAGGAACAGACGGAGAGACCAACCGGCAGGCGACAGATAGCAATGCAAAATTATAAACGATCTCTAGGATCGTTAATAAACGGCAAAAGTGTAAAATTATGGAACATGTAAAAAACGGTTTTTTGTTTTTTTTACAATAACTTTTTTTGTAAGCGGTACAGAAAAAATTCCTTCCTTGGTACAAGACTCGACACCATAACGAACCAAATAGCGAAAAAAGTAGAACAATAGCTCTTAAGATAAAAAACTAGTAGCGTCGCAAAGTTAGC